TAGGTGATTTTCCGTACAATTGCGAGATCTCGCGAGATGTATGAAAGACGCGCGTCGAACGTCTGCTGCAAAAGTCAAACGATTTGATTTTGAACTAGAATTTCTTTATTTCGTAACTCACACCGACCGGCCGATATTCGACAGAGGAATATTGCTTTTGAATATCCTCACTTAATCGAAATTGCCTATCATGAAATGTGAACAGCACATTACTAAGCATGGAAATGCCCCCTAAAATACTTCGTGTTTGTCGAATCCCACGCGATGTTTGACGCCACTACGACGCTATGACCTTTCTTTGTCCTGTTTTTACATTCGATTTCACGCTTAACGCGTGATTCTCGCAGTAAACGAAAAATGGTCTATTAACCAATGCTATACAAAATGTACACAAAATCTACATTAATGCATTTAAAATATCAAATAATAGGCTACACATAGATGTTAAATAAATATACAATTATTAAATCTATTACATCTACTTTCTTTAGAATGTATACACCATACTCTACAACCATAGTTACATATTGATGGTTATGGTAATAATATTTTGAGAATTCACATAAATATAAAGATGATGCATGTATGTACATTTATTGATATGTTTAATTAATATGTAAATTACCTGAAGATAATAATCAAGTTACTGAAATTCTGAGTTACCACTGTAAATGACTGTATGATTTAAGTGGAATACATTTCTGTGAAAATCTACTGAAAACTTAGTTCTCCCAACAGTTAATTAGATATACCGGTAATATTTTCCACAAAGATAAATTCAGATCATCAATAGACTGTTGACACTCCCTCTGACCTAATGTCTTTTTTCAACTAAAATGATTTAATCAAATGTCATAATGTATTTTTTTCAGAATGCATTTCAGGTGAGCGCGGTAAGGCACAAGGAACTGTTATAGACTGAAGGCACATCTTTGCAATTAATTATGCATGCATCTTAGCTCCATAATCCCAGTAAAGTCATATGAATGATCACAGAGTGCAATTTGGCTGGCAATGCAAGACCATCCCTAATAATAGTGGGAAACTGAATCAAATGCACAGTACAATGCATCACAAACACCATGTGCCCAAGCTAGCCTATGGCAAGTCACTATAAAAATGGGTGTTCACAATATAGAGAAAGTCAATGCAAAGGTACAAGATTGTGCCGGATTGGCTACCCAACCCTAACACCCAACATTCAGACAGTAGAGAGTAGATTGTTTGTTGGAAAGTTTATTTGATCAATGTCTGCCCTGTATATATATATGCTTCAACTTAAAGAGGAACCACTCAATCCCATGGATTGCACCAAAGAATCATGGGACACTATTGTTTATGTTGTTTACAAAGTTAATCTATCTTTTGTTATCCATTGTAATTTTAATCCAGAAAGTAAATTTGTTGTGATATTAGGCTTAACTTGAAGTGCCTCCTTTAACTGTAAATCAGCAAACACAATGGTCTTAATCTGATCAGAATACTGAATGAACCAGGTATTATCTGATTGGTTCTAACCTAATTGAATGTCACACTGAACAAACAAGAAGTTCTCTGATTGGATACCTTGTATGACAGTCCCTCCAGATTGGAGGGACAGTGCTTGTATTATATACAATATCGACACTGAAGAATCAAGGTGTTTCCCTGATTAGGTCATTATGTGTTAAAGTAGCCAATCTTATATATATATGATATCACTTTGAAGAAACAAGGTGTTCCGGATGTGTTCATTAGGTGTTAGGGTAACCAATCAGGAGCCATCTTATCAATATGATATCACACTACCGAAACAAGGTGTCCTCTGATTGGTCCATTAGTGTTAGGTTAACCAATCAGGAGCCATATTATCAATATGATATCACACTACCGAAACAAGGTGTCTCTGATTGGTCCATTAGTGTTAGGGTAACCAATCAGGAGCCATCTTATCAATATGATATCACACTACCGAAACAAGGTGTCCCTGATTGGTCCATTAGTGTTAGGTTAACCAATCAGGAGCCATCTTATCTATATGATATCACTCTGAAGAAACAAGGTGTTCCTCGATGTGTCCATTAGGTGTCAGGGTAACCAATCAGAAGCCATCTTATTAATATGATATCACACTAAAGATACAAGGTGTCCCTGATTGGTCCATTAGTT